TCTTCATGTACATAGTGAATTGGAGACCAGCCCGAGCTTCATAAGACCTAATCTCAATTATTACAATAATAATAATAATTTAATATTTTAAAAATTTGTATAGAGCTACAGCTCAAGGATAAATAATAATAATAATAATGATAATAATAATAATAATTTAAAAGTTAATACAGGCCAGGCAGTGGTGGTTCACGCCTTTAATCCCAGCACTAGGGAGGCAGAGGCAGGAGGATCTCTGTGAGTTCCAGACCAGCCTGGTCTACAAGAGCTAGTTCCAGGACATCCTGCAAAGCCACAGAGAAACCCTGTCTCGAGAAAAAAAAAAAAGTTAATCCAGACAAGATGGCACAGGTCTGTAATCCCAATACTTGAAATACTGCAGCAGGAAGATGGCCATAAATTTGAGACCAACCTGGGCTACATAACAAGACTCTGTCAAATAAATAAATAACAAGGGCTAGAGAGATGTCTCTGTGGTTTAAAGTACATGATACTCTTCCAGAGTACCCAAGTTGTATTCCCAGCATTCCTGTCTGGTGACTCACAATTTCCTGAAAAAAAAAAAAACATCTTCAGGGGATCTGACACCTCTGGCCTTCTCGGGTATCTAAATCCATGTTCACCCACACCCAGGGATACACATAGTTAATAGCAAATCTTTTTAAAAGAAATAAAACAAATTTGAAAGAGGGGCTAGGAGTGTGGCACTGTTGGTAGAATGCCTGTGCAACCTGCACAAAGCCCTGGGTTCAATCCCCAGCACTGCACAAAAGCAGGTGTAGTCAAACAAACTTGTAATGGCAGCACTTTGGAAGTGGAATGAGGAGAATCAGAAATTCAAGATCATCTGTGGCTACATAGGGAGTTTTAGGCCAGCCTGGGATATATGACATCTTGTTTAGTAAATGCATAACAATTAAATAAAAAATAAATTTAAAAGGAAATTAAAATTCTTAGAGATTAACTTTACTAAGTTTACAAAATCATTTCATATTATAATAATCCTTATTTTTCATTATACCATGGTCAAATGCAGCTTTGTGTGAGTTAGCACCACAATGACAATGTCATAAAGCATATGTGAGCTACTGGGGGCACTTCATCTCCACCCACCTGTAAGGAACTCACATGAGAGGCCTCAAAATCTCACTGACTCCAGACAGGATAATTTGCCCCCATTGAAGCAGGCAAGTTTGGGAACCCTGCCCCCATTTGGTTCTGAATTATTCCCATACACACCCTCTTGTAATTATGCACTTGGCATTCTAGTTCCTTCATCTGCATGCACTGTGTGCCCACACCCCTCTCCAATCAATGCTCGTAGTAACCGTAGGACCCTCTCCACCCCAATGTGCATCAGGCTATACATACACTCCCATCTTTGAACAATGGTATTAGTTTAGCATTACAGATAACAATCCAACTTAGTTTCTATTCAAATGTATTCCCAAAATATCTGGGTATGATAAATAGAGGAGCCTGCCTCAAACAAAGAGTCAAAGACTAACAACCAAGGTCATCCTGTGACCTCTAGACCCATTGAATAGCACACACACCTGCACACACACACACACACACACACACACACACACACACACACACACAATACACAC